TTTTTTTTCCCCATTTTCAAAGGTCTTTTGCCACTGGACTTGCATTTAGATCCGTCTGCCTTTGTAGATTGTTTTACTATACGGTGTACAACCCATGCTCTGATGCTGTCAGTGAGTGCTTTGCTTAATTTGAAAAGAAGTATCGGATATTTAGGGAAACTTTCACTATTTTCAGAGAGTTAGATGAGAAGACTGGTAACGGAAATCTATTTAAAAAATAAAGCAGTTTAGAGCTAGGTGGATGGGGTTCTTGAGGTAGAGTGGTAAATGGACTGTATTTATCGCTCTTTTCCCTTCACCCACATTCATACAAGCACTTTTTTTCTGTCCATGCCTAAGCACTCGCACATGCATGCATTAATGGGAACTCGGGGTTCAATATCTTGCCCAAGGATCCTTCGACATGAAGAAGAGCCAGGGATTGGATCACTGATCTTCCAATCAGTAGAGGACCTTTAATCTTCAGAGCCACACAGAGAGTGAGGCATCCCATAATTGGAGAGTCGGGTTTTTTGATTTCCTAGCTCCATCTAGCCACATGTCAAAAGGGTCAAAATTTTGAACTCCAGAATCTTCCCATTAATGTGTAATCTGCATCTGACTGTTTGTGTGATAGTGCTGGATGCATGTTTGTGTGTTGGGTGTTTTAGGTGGGTGACAAAAAATAAAAACTAAAACTGCAGTCCATTTATATTCGCTCGACAGAAATCAGGGAAACACTCTCTCCAAGAGCCACATACTAGTTTCTTTGCATTTACTAGTTAACACATGGTATACCAGTATGACTAGTTTAAAAAAAGAAAAGAAAAGAAAAGAAAAGAAATTTTTTTACATGCTGTAGTGTGAAACCCCGGACACTGCGTACACATTGGTCTTTGACTGACGAGTCATTAACAGTTATCCTCCTTTTATACTCCTTATGTAAACCATAAATTACAAAATGAGCTTCATGTTTCATTCTGTATGACCTGAAAATAGTGACGGAGCCCATGAAGTCATCAGGGAAGTGTTCAGAGAGGTTACAGAGCAAGCAGGTTGACGGCTGTTTTCCGATAGGCTCGCGCACAACCAGAAGTCTTTTTGCAGCCAGAGGAGTCACCTGCTGCCGGCTGTTAAAAAGAATGCAGGTTTAAGACACTTGGGAGTTGGTTTCTCCACCTTTAGTATGGTCAGAAATAAATAGGTCAAGTAGATGGACACGAGCATGCTTGCAGTTTCCTTGGTCTCTATTCTTTCTGCTAAGCTAACTGGCCGCTAGCTTCACACAGTCAGGTTATCGATCTTCTCATCTAATGTTTACTCATCACCAGAATGCCAATAAATATTTCTGAAGAAGTCACTTCATTTAAAATTTCAGTTTTTGTTTGTTGCCACTATATTACAGGAACAATAAAACTTTATTTTTGGTTGAGGGTGTCTTGTTTTTTGGGCCCTCCACAAGAATTCAAGTTTGTCGTGTGACACCTGGGGAAAATTAATTGCACACCTGTGATTTGAAGCCTGGGAAGAAAATAAGCAAAAAAAAAAAAAAAAGACCAAGCTACAAAACACTACGACAGTGCTGTTTTTGTTTTCAAAGATGCATTGGAAGCCACACTTTTGTTACAGTGTCTGAGTGTCCAAGGGCAACTTTAATTATCAGTGAATGTATGTCCTCGCCGTGCTGGCTGGTTGTACTTATTGTTTGCATGCTTACCTTGAATGGATGCAAACTCCTTTAAATCTCTGGGGACCCCTTTATAATAACTGAGGAACTATATCTTCCAATGAATACTGCAAAGCAAGATGGCCTGAATGCCTTGAAATGTGCACTATTTCCTTTTAGAAAGGTTTAAAGCTTATTCTTTTACCTTACAAAGCAGTGGATTTTGCTATCGCAACAATAAATATTTTAATAATAGATGTGAATTTCACAAACACACATATATCTATACATATATATCTATAGAAAAAGAGTAAAAGTGATGTTGAGTTTATGCCCAATGTGTGAGTTATGGGGCATTTATAGATGAGATGATTACTGTATAAACTGTTTTCTGTTTTTCTTTTTGTTTTTCAACCCTGATCCTCAGGGCCTGCTTGCTCTCTTTCCCGCTGTCTTCTTTTGTCCTCATGCAATACTGCAGCCACGCTGGCCAAAAAAAAAATGTAATCAACAACTTTACAGGCTATTTTAACACATTTCTTGTAATTGCATATTTAATAACATATACTTTCTAAGTGACGCTTGATAATTATAGATTTATTTTAACTTCTGCTGGTCACAGAAAGGTAAAATTTGAACGATCTAAACCAAAGTCTATATGGAGCTTATGTTCTCAGTTTATTTCCCAATTTATTCTTAGAAATTTACTATGTGAATCTGAATCTCTTCATTTGGAAGTCAGTGAATTTGCTGTGAAAAGATCGAATATAGTTACAAATTGAATATATTGTTGAATATATATTTGGTTTTACTTGGCCAGTTTTTTCTGTTATATACAGCTACCACTGTAAGAAGTCTGTACCACAACACTTCAGCTTGCAAAAACCATTTTGCTGTTTTTCTGTGGGACTATTATGAAATGCTAGCGAGGCATCACTTGTGTCTTTAGTGATATAAGTGTGGTAGAAACCAGGGCAGTGATGCTGGTTGCACATAGCATGTTTGGTGGCATCTTTCATCCTCAGCTCCGATGTTATCGTCATTACCGGTATTTCAGCCTCGCTCTTCTGTTTTTGTTCCGTTTTGCTGTCAGTATTTTAACTTAACAGAAGTGTTTATTTTGTTGCTTCTGCAAGTCCCTGACTTCCTTGAAATTATGTCTGTAGAACAAAAAGAAACTATTTTAAAACTAAATAAACAGACCGTTATTTAATGAGCTCTTGTCAAGTCATTTATTTCTGTGTTTTACAAGCATATATTTGCAGTCTTTGCTCGTGTGCTGTGACTGGTGTCAAGATTTTGCTAGGAAAATTGGCAAGAGGGGGACTGAATGAATGCATAATTGGCTGCCTTTTCTGGCAGACCAAAGTGGTGTAATTAATCTGAGACGAGGATGGTGACACGTTTCAGCCTTTCAGGTATGTTTACAACTTTAGCATAAAGTGCAATTTGAATTTCACTTTTAACAGTTCACCCTAAAAATTTTAAATCATGTCATTACAAGACTGATAAATGTATCTGAATTCTTGCTTACTGTGAGTGTTGTTTGAGTGTTCTTATCTGCAGAGTCCTGTGCACAAGTCTCAAGCCAACCCTCATTCCTTTTACATTTTCATCATGAAATATAACTATAAGGTAAGAGGGAACAATATAAGTGAGTTACTGAA